GATGGGGCTGTGAAATCCAAGACCCTTTGGCCTGCTTGTGGTAAAGACTGCACAGTTTGGCTCTGTTCACCTTGGCAAACATAGCTAACATAGTGCTGTAGAGTAATGTTTTTGTTGCACCTTACCAAAAGACCTTTCAGAATGCTTTGCCAGCATTATACTTCACCTTGTGCTTATTGCAAAGGAGACTATGAGCAACTTTATTAGGGTGTTGCAGAAGTATGTAATGTAGCATGATGCTTGCCCTCCTTGACAGATTGTGGCTTCTAATGGTCCTCTGTGTTTGTGTGTAGCATGCACAGTCATTTGCATAATTAATGCATTACTTTGAAATACAGGTATTTCAGAAATGTAGCATCCTATATTTATGGAGAAAAAAGTTAAAAATATTGCAGTGGTGACCTAAAATGTACCTAATGTTAAGTACTAATTTGTGAAGGGGAAAGGGTAAATTGTTGGATATTTTTGTGGTATCATAAAGTATTAATGAACCTTAATGTGAATTAAATGCTTGAACTCCTGTGGGTTGAGATGTGAAACTATTAGAGTTAGCCTTCGTAGCATAGAACAGTAAGTCTGACAGGGGACTTAACTAGTTTTTCTTCCTTTTCTATATTTTTATAAGATGCTAGTAAGCCCTGCGTCATTATAAAAGACAAGTAGAATAGAAAGGTAAGGTTTGAAGCTAATAAAGTAGTGTAGACAGGTTTTCCTCCTCCCTCCCACTTGAAATAATTGTGTGTGAGGGGAAAGCATTCACCAACACTAAAAATGAATACTGTAATTTGATGGTAGAGGGAGCTAGATAGTTTTTAGAGATAGAAAGGATCAGAGGGTATTGCTGCTAACTTTCTAGTCTCATGTTAAAATGATAATTTAGGTGAAAACACATCTTCTTTAATCTTTTTAAATCTCTAGGCAGCTTTCTCTTTTTATTTTACATACAGATATTAAGATTCTTCTATGTTTTTTGTCTTTGTCTAAGAATAAACAAACTTTCACCTGATGCTTTTGTGTCTGTCTCTCTCTTTTTAACAGTCTGGTGGTATTGCCACTATCGATTCATCTTGCCCAATCCGGTTTCATTTAGTATTCAGGAGACAACAGTCTGTAGTTTGATGATTTCTAGTCATTCTGTGTTCTGAATATGTATTTGTATACTTCAGCCAAGACGATGATCCACCTCTTTTTTTAGGATCATGTATCTCAATTACCTAAATACTTGCTTGCATTTTTTCTGTTTATTCTTAGATCTAACAAAAAGTATAAAAACTCCTTTTGTACCTTATTTATAATGTTAACTTCATTTTATGCAATGTATATGTAACTTTGGTAACATGAAGGAAATAGTAATTTTATTTAAAAATATACCTGTTATTATAGAGAAGGGTAAGAGGCTAAATTTTCCTAGACAGGCAAACAGCATATTAAATAAAGACATCTTGGTAAGCTGATCTTGATTGCCCTTTGAGGTGTTTATAGGTTTATAATGTCCAAGAGCTGCTAAAGGGGTGGAAGGGAACTGTTGACTCCAGCTGCACGTCTTTCTCAACCAAAAGTGAAATGGAGTATGCAGAAAACCTGTCCTTTTTCCAGTCTAAACTTTGGCAACGTTTCATGTTTACTTGCAGAACAAACAAGCTTGGAGTCTGTTTTTGTTGTGTTTTTCCCCATCTAGAACTATATTCAAGTTCCTTTTATCTCCACTGTTTCATCTCTGTCCAGTTATAAGCTTAAGTTTTGTGTATGTGTGGCTTGTAGATATTTTGTGAGTTGCATAGCTGAGGTTATTACCCTCTACTTGTCCACAAATGTGGCATTTTTAATTATTTTGGTCAGATTAATATATTTTTAAGACAGAAGGGCCATTGTCATCTGTATGTGTATTGGCTTTGTGTGGTACGGTTTTGGTAGCGGGGAGGGGGGGGTTTACAGGGGTGGCTTCTGTAAGAAGCTGCTGGAAGCTTCCCCTGTGATACATTTTTAAGAAGGGAAAAAAAAGGACAGATGGAAACAGCCGCCAGAGAGAGGAATGAGAACATGTAAGAGAAACAACCCTGCGGACACCCAGGTCAGTGAAGAAGGAGGGGGAGGAGGTGCTCCAGGTGCCAGAGCAGAGATTCCCCTGCAGCCCGTGGGGAAGACCATGGTGAGGCAGGCTGTACCCCTGCAGTTCATGGAGGTCCACGGTGGAGCAGATGTCCACCTGCAGCCCGTGGAGGACCCCACGCCGGAGCAGGCGGGTTCCTGAAGGAGGCTGTGACCCCATGGGAACCCCGTGCTGGAGCAGGCTCCTGGCAGGACCTGCGGATCTGTGGAAAGAGGAGCCCACGGAGCAGGTTTTCTGGCAGGACTTGTGACCCTGTGGGGGACCCACGCTGGAGCAGTGTGCTCCTGAAGGACTGCACACCATGGAAAGGACCCATGCTGGAGCAGTTCATGAAGAACTGCAGCCTGTGGGAAGGACCAACGTTGGAGAAGTTCATGGAGGACTGTCTCCCGTGGGTGGGACCCCACGTTGGAGCAGGGGAAGAGTGTGATGAGCCCTCCCCCTGAGGAGGATGAAGTGGCAGAAAATAACGTGTGATGAAATGGCCGTAAACCCCATCCCCATCCCCCTGTGCCGCTGGAGGGGCTTGGTAGAGAATCCGGGAGTGAAGTTGTGCCCAGGAAGAAGGGAGAGGTGGAGGGAAGGTGTTCTGAGATTTGGTTTTATTTCTCATTACCTTACTGTGGTTGATTTATAAATTGAGTTAATTTTCCCCAAGCTGAATCTGTTTTGCCCATGATGGTAATTGGTGAGTGATCTCTCCTGTCCTTATCTCGACCCACAAGCTCTTTGTTATATTTTCTCTCTCCTGTCCAGCTGAGGAGGGGGATTGATAGAACGGCTTTGGTGGGCAACTGGTGTCCAGCCAGGGTTAACCCATCACAGTATGGACTAGAACAGAAAATATCAGTCAGCGATTTCTGCATGAACTTTCAAGGGTATTGTCCCAGGTGGATAGATGTCTCAGGGTGGCCAGGGTTAGCCAGTGAGCTCTCTGGATCATGGAGAGGTAGCAGGAAACATCCCTCCATTTTTTGGAGTCGGGGGTGGTTTTGGCGGCCCTGTTACGCTTAACAGCTATTTCACTCTCACTGAATTATAGTCTTGCTTATTCTTTTGTTGGTTTGTTTATTTATAAACTGGAAAACTGTTCTGATATTGGAATAAATGTCTCAACGTGCTCTTAACTCATTCTTTATTGCTGCCTTTTGAATTTAAAGATGTAGCATTCATCCTTGTAGACTGTCAGCTTCATTCTAGAGATGGAAGTTCCAGTCTCGGCCTTTTTATTTGAGCTGCCTTAAACTCTTTTGTTTTGTTCTGTTTTGCAGAGTCCCTTCTTTTAAAATTAAGTCTGGGTAGCAGCCTTGCCTTGCTTGCATTTAAATGCATTAGAGTGTTTATCACCTCAGGCTTATAAGAAAGTAGACGATGAAGGTTTAAAAGGGTGCTTTGTTTGGGCACAGATGTGTAGTATTTTGAGTTTTTTTTTGTTGTTTTGTTGTCCTTTGTGCCACTTTCAATGTTGATAATGACAATGTTCAAAAATACAACAACACTCCTACCTTATGAGTTAGCTTGCCTTTTTTTTAAACTCTTAATCTTAATTTTTTAGCATGTGTTTCTGTTCATTGAACCCTTATGGCATATGGTCATCTTCCTGCAAGCCTCAGTTTCTATCAGTACAAAAGCTGCAGATTTCCTTCTTGGCTGTATTGAAAAAAGACAAACTGGCCCTTGGTAGGGAGGTCGCTGTCATGCGCAGTGCATGGGGTTGTATCTATAGTTTGTTACAAAGAACTAATAGCTAACCAGGAGGAAAGACTTCAACTGGTTGTCTAATCTCCTGAGTGTTGTGAGGGGTGTTTGTTTGTTTGTTTGTTTTAAAGATTGGTCTTTTTTAAACTTGTATGTGATCTCTTGGCTTATGATTGAAAACATTCTGGTAAAACTTGGTGTTTCAGGATGAAAACCAAACTCTACCTTTAGTTTTTGCTTTGACTTTAGTTATGTAAAGAAACCCCCCACAAACAAACAAAAAACCAAAAGCAGGCTCAAATGCACAAGACTTATCTCACACAAAATTAGGGTTGTGATTATATGACTTGCCTCCTGTTTAATCAGGTGTGGTGATATATTGCACTTTGGGATAAGGAGTTTCCTAATGGCAAGTTATATTTAAGTAAACTTGGTTTTGATTCTGCTGAAAGTAATACAGGGAACTTCAGAGGCTGAAAAGGTCATTACTTTATTGATGTGGTTTATGAAAATCCTTTTCAGGAATTGAAACTGTCTGCAGTGATTATTATTTTTTCAGAAGTAGTAGTAAGATTCCTTCTAGTTTTATCTCCATAACCAGAAAGGGAAGAACATTCTGCAGCCCAAAATGCTAATCCTTCTATAGCTGTATATTCCTTTAGAGCGTGGACTTCTGCATGTCCAAGTTTTGCACCTGGCTGTGATATTTTCAAAGTTGCATGAGCACAAAGGTACCTTCTTGCTAACTTCTCAAATTAACAGCTGGTGAGCTGTGCTTTGCAATGGAGTATTTGCCCAGAGAATTTTTTGAAACAGAAAAATCAGAAGTCCACTATATCATATCATATCATATGTAGTTCATGAAGGTTATAAGAACAGGAGACTTCTCAGAATGAAGAACCGAAGTTGAATGTTTTTGTTTCACTCTTGTTTAGGATGATAGGATGAAATCAGTGCTAGAGGAGCTGCAAAGCTGTAGCTTGAGAAAGTAGGGTGCATAATATATTTTAGCTGAATTTCCCCTTTAATGTGTAATCCAAAAGTATTTTTATTGCAGTCCTCTAAAAGGAAAAGTTCTCAAGCACAGTTCTCAACATTGCGTATGGTTGTGTCAGTGTGGCTTACAAAGGTGTGTCTGTCAGTAAATGCTGCTGGACTCCGTCTGGTTATTTTTCTTCTCTGTTTGTCTTAGGCCAAAATTAGTTATGAAAAGGAGCAGAGGCACAAGCTGCTAAAGCATCTACGAGGTGAAAATACATGGATGCTTGCTGATGTGAATGAACGTGTGGAACAACTCGAAAAGGTGTTGGAACTGTGCACTGAATTGTGTTGTTAGCTTTACAGCATGTTTGAACAGAAGGCTTTGAGGGCTTTAAGATGATCTTTAAAAACCTCCTGATTTTCTAATTCTTTATGCTTTGATATTAGCTTTTTTTTCAGTGGAAATAATCTTTTACTCACAAAGAGGAAAAATTTCTGTCATTCAATTCCAGCTTTAATTTTTACAAAATGCAGAAGAGCAAGCACTGCCAGACAAAAATAGTCCCATGGGAAGAAATCTGGAGGATCCAAGGCTTCATAGCAGTCCCATTTGGGGTCATTCACACAAGAAGCCTTAATGGAACCTCTGAATATCGCATCCTTTTAGTGTAGTAATCTGGGCAGATACTTCAACAAAGGACAGATGTGTGTTGATGATGCAGTGATTCTGGAGGAAATAGATTTGACCGAAATAAAAGTAGTGTAGAAGATATTCTATGTATAGTTATAGTTTCTTAGTTCCAGTAAAAAAAGATACTGAGAGGGGGAAGAAAAATTGATGACCGATGTGAGGCATGCCCTCCCTGCCTGTGCCCAGTGTTGGTGTCCTGTCCCGTCGTCCCCGCCCCCCACCCCCCCTCACCCCAACAGAGGAGAGAGAAGGTAGTAGAACTTAAATGTAGCTATGTCCAGCTGTGTGTGTTTTACCTTTTTCAGTGTGGTTTGGCAAGTAGGTTGTGATTGTTTTTCTTGTATGTGGGTGATTTGGTTTACTGGATCTCATTTACAAATATTTACTTGTAGGAACATTCTGTGCAGAAAAAAAAGAAAAAGGATAAGCATTCAAAAAAAGCGAAGAAAGAAAAGAAGAAAAATAAGAAACAAAAATCTGAAAAGAAGGTTGACTTACTTGATAGTTCTTCGGTAAGTAAGAAACTTTAAAGTGCTTCAAATGACATTTTTAAAACCTGCACCATTTTAGTTTCTGTGGCTACACATGGTTAGTAAAATTAGACTCATTCTTGCCATTTTCTGTTGGGAAAAACTGAGGCAAAGTTTGCCTTTTTAATATACTGAGTATTTAATCAATTTAAAAGATGCTGTTATTTGAGTGCTTGTGAATTTTATAATATTCACTCATTAGGAACAAAGGTATTTACAGTTTTTCAGGAGAGAGAACTTGGGAAAAAATCCTCATTCTAGAACAGCGTGCAAAAATTCGTAGGTTCCCTGTTGTCAGTTGTATATGGTAGAATGGTGTGTCTAAAATTGCAAATACTTGACTTTGATTTTAAGCGTGAGTTAATGTTGCCTTTTTCCATAGATGTTCAGCCACCAAGACTCCCAACAACATGGGAGTTGTATGTGGATCTGAAGGAAGGCTCAAACTTTTGCATTTGAATCTGTACACAGATGCCCTCACATTGAGGGGCAAAACAGTACACAGATGGTATTAGAAATCTGAGTGCTGCTTTCTGACCATGTTGTGTAAAACATCCTCCCAGCATTTTGGTGCAAGTCGGGTAGTGCTGTGATTTTTTTCTTTTCAGAGAGTCTCTTTTATTGAATGAAAGAACATGCAGTATGATGAGATTTATTTTCCAGGGACTGATATCAGAGGTGAACTAGGCTTTTCAGTGTGGGAAGTAACCTTAGGCACAAACGTCCCACATTTCCCATGGGAGTCATCAAAACCCCTCAGATCACATCAGTGAGACCTCGGAAACAACACAGTTCTGGCTGATACCTTTGATCCAAAGTCTGTTATTCCCATGACAGGTTCATGTAAATAGCAAAGAAACTCTGTTCAATGGAGTCCTATTTGCTTCAAGTGTAAAATCTCAGTACGCTGTGGCAAGTGCAAGTGTAGGAAGTTGGATATGAAAAAAGGAGGAGGTAGCATGTACAGTGCTTTATATTATACTGTGTTACTGATTTTACTTTTTTAATGTAGAACATAGTAATGAATTTAGATTTTTTTTAATTTTGTTTTTTTAATGCCATAAAACCAATTCATTTTGGTTTCATTCTGACAGTTAACTTTAGCAGTGTTATGCTAATAAACTGTCAGTATGAACTAGTGTTACATAACTGTGATGTGCTCATGAAGTATAGTGGAATGTTTTGATTATGAAGGAACACTCTCCTATGGGAATATCAATATTCTATTTTTATTATCAGTATTTTAAAATAATAAACAGTATTATATTAGTAATGCTAATCAGAATCGATTTTGATTATCAGTATACTTGGTAAGTATTGCATTTTATCAACATATAAAAGTATGTTAAGGTGTTATTGTTATTCTTTACATTAAACTCTATTTTTAGGATTCCTCAGTTGAATGGGTTGAGTCAAATGTGTCACAGTCAGATAACACAGAAAAGGCTTGGAAGGTCAACAAGCAATCACATGCTGAGAAAGATCCCTCCCTGCAGGTGAGCAGCCTGATAACGACTCTAGAAATAAATTCAGCGTGACCAAATGTGAAACATGCTTAGGTTTCTTGACAGCTCTTTTGCAGTGTGTTGAACAAAACCTATTTTACAGACAAATGTCTTTGTTTAGCTAGGTAAATGTTACATTTCATTCATTGGAAGACTTCTCTACCTAATACTTGCTTAGTATTTAACAAGGCACTACGCTTAAAATTGCTTAGTGCTAATTCCTTTCATCATGTTTTGAGGCTCTAGCAACTTAAGCTTAATTTTCTTGAAGAGGCCTACTTAATGATCTTTACTAGACATGTTATTTTTTTCTGCATAATTTTGGTGGCTATTCTACAGTTGAATGAATTTTTGCTTCTGTGGTTCTTAAACAGATATAAGGAAGAGAGGTGTAGAACATTTCAGCAACTATATTTATGGCATCAATGCCTCTTTTGATCTTCCTATGTGATTTCTGTGCCCAGTAAGCAGTGTTTATTCTGGAAAATGGAGTAATTCTGAAGTGAACTGATGTGATTTTAGTAATGTAAACGTACTTAGATATCATGACATCCTCAGTTGTGTGAAAATGATGATTTTTAATTTAGTGTCTAATTCCACTCCTGAAAAAAGTTCCTGTTTCTCATTCTGAATTTGTGCATCTTGTTAAGAGAACTAAAAAGGATCTCTGAATCATATCTATCTTCTTGGAAAAGTATAAAGTAATGAAATATAAATCCTTATGTATGTTGTGACAACTTATACTGCAAAACCTTCCCGCTCCCCCC